TATTTAATTAACATATATAATTATATTAAAAAATATTTTTAAAAAAATATCTCTAAATTATTTAGCCTATTGATGAGAACCGGACTCATTATTATTATTATTATGTTTTATTAGGGCAAGTGGCTTACAGAGAAAAAGAGGTGGAGAAAAGAATCGAACTTTTATCATGACAAAAAAAATTTATATTAAGTTATTAAACCACTAAATTGGCAAACCTTTTTCAAATTCGGAGCCATTATTGGTGAGACACTTCTCAACTAGTAGTTATAAATTACATGCCCTTTCAATGAGGGTAAACAAAAGATAATATATCCATTTTATAATACTTTACAAATAGTGGATTATATACCTATTTTATATTCATTTATTTATTTTAAGTAAATTTTTTTATTTAATAAAATATAAATCTATTGATTATTAATAAATTTTATATTTACTTTTAATTAAATATTATTTAAATAAAATTTTTATTTAAAATATATTATAATTATTTTTTAAAATAAAAATTAAATAATAACTATATTAAATATTATCTTAAAAATAACTAATTAAATTTAAAAATCTCATATAAAAAATTAAATTTACTGAAATTAAATAAAAAAATAATACCTTATAAATTTCTAGCACGAAAATCAATTATAGTATATTTTAATTTTCGTGAATTTTGTAAACCAAGTTAAACTTTTTTTTCTTTTGCGGATTTCTTGGTCTTTTTTTTTTTTTAAAAAAATTACATACTAAACAGACCTTAAATGAAAAAAAATTATGAAAGGTTAGAATTATAAAATGTTACAATGTACTAGACTAGGGGGTGGGTGGAAAACTTCGCAATTAGAAAAAAATTTGAAATTGACTAAAATCATAATTAAACAATAGGATTTGATTGGATTTTGATTTTTTGATTAAAAAGCAAACTAATCCAATCTTAAATAGTTTGGGTTTTAGTTGTTAAATCTAAAAATTGAAAATCAATGATTTAGATAAGTAAAACTAAAAAATCTAGTGAAAAAAACCTTTTCTGTAAGATTTTTAATGGTTTCAAAATTTTTTTAGGTTTTCTACCACTTTTTACAGAATTATTTATTTACTTGAATAATTTTTAATTTTTTAAGCATTGAAATTAATCAAATAATAATTAAGAAATTAAAAAATAATAAAAAATATAGAAATAATTTTTGGTTAAAATTGAAATCAAAATAATGGTTATTCTCAAAAAATTAACAGAGTCCAACAAAACTTGTTATTTTTTATTTGGTTAATAGTTTTTAGTATTAAATAACAAAAATTTTGATTAAAGAGTAATTTAGTTTTGGTTGTAATCGAAATCGAACCATAACCACCCTCATATTTGATTCATTTTAGTTGATTTTAGGGTCTATTAGTAAATTAGTATGTATTCATTTATTTAATTTTATATTAGTATAGTAAATTTATAATAGTGTTATATTTAGTAAGTTTGTGTGAGTTTTTAAAATAAATTTAATATTCAAGTCTTAACACAAACATCTAAAGAAATTGCTTTCCTTAAATGTATGAGGTTGATATTGGGGATAAGGACAACAATAGAGCCACGCAGAGTTGGAAAGTGTCTCCCCATAACCATCTCTGCGAATTGCGGGAGCAAGGATTCTCGTAAGAATTTTTTATCAAGAGTAAAATTTGCCTCCCATTCCTATTACTTGTAGGGAATGGTCCCTGTGGGGATTCCTTGCCCTCCTGCCAACATATATTATAAAATTAATTAATTAATTTTTATTTTATTATTTTAAAACAAAATATTTTAAATAGTTGGGTTAAAGTAAAAAAAATAATTTGATTTGGACTTTAGTACTAAATTAACATTAAAAATAAGTAATGAGTATACCTATGACTATTAGTTAAATATTTAAATTGTATTAGATTTAATTTTTTTCTCTATTTTTTCAATATTTCATGGGAATGGAGATCCCTGTGAGGCGGGGAAAATTTCCACAAAATTTCACAATGAAAAAATACTTCCCATCCCCATCTTGTAGAGGAAATATTCCTCCTTGCCTTTGTGGCAAGGATTGGAGGAAATTGCCGCCCTTATATGAGGGTGCACCTTTAATATCGTATAAAAAGGAATTTGTCTCGAAATATATAAAAACTTAGCTAGGACACTTTAATAATAAATACCCCCAAAAAGGAGAAAATGATAAAATTAAAATGTCATGTAATATTGTAAACTTACAATAATGATATGCTATTATATAATTAGTTTTTTTCACTTAGAGATTCCCTTGTAATATTATATCAATCTACTTGTTTAATGATAGTTATAATAGTTTACAATCCTATTTTACATGACATTGTAGTTATATCACTGTCAATATACAAGTACTATATATTATTTGGGTACTTTATATAATATAATGTAATATTAAATGAAAAAAAAGGTATACTTACTTGTAATTCTTAAATAAAGAGTCAATTATAAGATTACACTTCATATTAAACATATCATTGTATAAAAAAATATTATACCCCTATCATTTGCTTTAGCTTACTCTGTTTTTTTTTTTTTTGGAACTGGGTTTAATTAATTGCTTACTATTTATTGGTTGGTTCAATTATTGTCTCCAAACTTATTTCAGTATCGAAATGATCCCCAAACTTCTTTTTATTGATTTCAAAATGGTCCTTATTAACCCACTAAAGTTGGTTTAAGTGGTTAAAAAGTTATTTGAACTGTGTTTTAAGAACGTGGGTTCAAATCTCTCTAATGTTATTTGACCCTAAACAATTCTAATAGGTTACACCCACCGCCTTTAATGGTGAAATATCCCATAGAATTAGCAAACTAAAAGAAAAATGAAAAAAAATTTCCTAATTTATTTAATTATTTAGGTTAATTGTGTTTCTAATTTTTTTTTTAATGTAGAATACAAATAAGTGTATGCAATGTACATTACAATAATTCAAAAACAAGTGCACGCTTCATTTAAAAAAAAAAAAAAAAGAACAGCACGACTCTAGAAAAATCCACTAATTGATGGTGAATATCCGTCTTATTTCTCTTTAGATATACATGATGTTATTATGATTTATTCTTTTTTATTTTTTTCTGTCTATGTGTATTATATTTGTATGGATGTAAGACCTTGATTTATGGATAAGACATTCCTTCATCTTGTAGATGCCAAATGACTTAATATTAATAAAATATTTTACTTTAGGAAGAAAAAATTCTTTATTTGATTATCACAATAATTTGAGAGGGAAGGGAAAAGGAGTCCTTTACTTTATTTTTTCTTTTAATTTATTTATTTATTCAAATAAAGGGAAAGAGAAAAGGGTAGGGGAGGGGAATAGAAGGTTAAAATTTCTCTCCTCTTCTCAATTCTCTTGAGAAAATGGTAAATAAAAATATCAACTTTAGATTTTTTTTTATTTAAGAATGTTAATTTTATCATTTTTTAAATAAAAATATCAACTTTTATTTTTTTCTATTTAAGAATGTTAACTTTCAGTTTTTTATTTTTAAGGATAAAAACTTTTAACTTTTTCTATTTAATGATTAATTTGACGATAATGGTAACATGAAAAATGAATTTTTTAACTGAAATGTTAAAAGTTGACATCCTTAAATAAAAAAAAATTAAAAGTTAATATCTTTAAATAGAAAAAATTGAAAGTTGATATCCTTATTTAAAAACTAACAAAATTAATATCTTTAAATAGAAAAAAGTACAAAATTGACTTCCTTATTTGCATCATTTCTCCAATTCTCTCCAACCCAAATACACTATTAGTTTCAAAAAAAAAAAAACATTTAATTGAAGAATATGTCATTTCAAATAAAATTTTTAAGCAAAAAAATCTCACATTAAGTGTATAAAACAAAAGTATGTGGTATCAAAACTCAAGTTTCGTTTTTAGGAAACCTATTGTTAGTCTACCTAATATGACTTAAAGTTGATACTAGACTTTCATATAAGGAGGTGTCTTTAGTCACATAACAGTATCCAGTATTCATAGTAGACCTACATGTGAGGAGCATGTTGAATGAAAAAAATCTTATATTAAGTATATAACAAAAATGCTTATATGTGTGGATTAAATATAAAGAGAATCACTTCACCTATTATCAGTTGATTTTAGGTTAAATAAAACCTTGTTGTAAATCTCACATGTATAATTTTCATGAAAACTTCTATTAATAAATATACTAAAGGCATAAGAAGATAAGAACGTAAGCTTAAGGACCATTTTTAGACAAAAATAAGTTGTGGCACAGAAATGGAAACAATTCAATAAATTGAGAACCACTTCAGGCATTAAACCTCTGAAAATCTCCATCACAGTACTTCCTGTGCTATCTTGAAAAAAAAA